TCCGCTCTTTGTTGCGAAGCCCCTTTTCTGGTGACTTTTTGCCACAGATTCTGTTGTCCCTTGCAAAGTTTTTATCTGACTCTAAGGGGCTAGGGGCCTGTCTCTTTTGAATGGTAGGTGTTTCCACCGTTTCCAAGATCCGTGCCTCTCTGCTGCTGGTTCTAATTGCTTCTGCTTGGTTGCTTCAGCCTCCAGCTTCTTCCAGGAGTTCCTACAGTGTCCTAGAATATTTAGCAGTTCGTCTAGGTCGGATACCCCGCTTTTAACATGCAGACTGATGTTTTTTGCCTAGCGACAGCGGATTTTATACGCCGCAGCACCTGGCGACATTTTAGGATGGCATCCTCTTCCTCGACACGGAGTTTCAGCATGTACTCATGCCTTGGTGAGATTACCACCTCTGCAGTAGTGCTTGGAGCACGTGCTTCCTCCACACTTTGCAAATCCCAGTCTTTGGCAATTGTTAGATGCTCTATAGTTCACTTTAGGGCTCGGACTTCTGTATAGTGTGTCTTAATTTCTGATTCCATCGCATACACATTTTCAATATATGTATTATCAATAGAGTGTGAGCTAGAGTGAGTGTGTGTATGTGCAACATCTTGTGTAAATAGAAAATCCTTCAAGGGTTCAGGATTTCTTGGAGTCGGGCAGTCTCGCCTAAAGCATTCTTACTTGTTGTATATAATATTTTTAGTAAATACTGAGAATACAGCTTTTAGCAATCGTATATCAGTTGAATTTTTAGTACAGTTAGAGATATTCAGCAATTTAACGTCATCTGCTGCCATTGTCGACTTGTGAGCACAGCTTTGAAATGAATTGCGGTCAAAGATTATATTTTGGCAATTTGCTCATGCTTGGGTGACCAATCTATAGCGTCAAACATATTCCATAGCCCAGCTGCATGTACCGCTAATGGTTACGTGTGTGTGCGTGTGTATTTGTGGAGCGTTTTAATGTCTGCAATAACCACTAACATTTTCCAACATATCCAGCCAGCTGCCAACATTGGGGGTAATCTGCAAAATTGAGCTAAGCGGTAATTGAAAAACCAAAAACTAAAACCAAAATAAAAACTAAAACTAAAAGTGCAACTGAAAATGCATGTAAGCTGGCCATGATGGTCCAGCAACTTGCGTCTGTAGACTGAGATTTGTTGTGTCTGTTATCGAATGCCTAGGCAAGCACACACTCACACACGAGCACACACACACATACACATTAAGGGCAGACAAGGAAAAACATGGTCAAGAAGCAGTTGAGCATGAAATAGAAGGGAGACGGGCGCTAGAAAAATAATAAAACATAAATGCCATTTGACCTTGTCTAGCAAACAGAATGTCAGTTGGCTGCGCTGTGGGGCAGAGGTTGATGCTGAGGCTCGAGCTGGCTTCAGGTTGTAGGCAGAGCAACAAATTGAATGATGCCCTTTAATGATGACTGAGCACGATGCCAACTGTGTGTCACAGCTGACGAATTGTTTTTGCATATTGATTAAGTGCTGGTAGAGCCTAAGAATGGAATATGCAACAAATAAAAACAAGTAGGAAAGCTCTAGTCGAGACTGCTCGACTGCGAGATCCCCTGAACCCTTCGAACGATAGCTATTTCAATCATTTTTCGCGTCTTTCTACTTACACAAGACACACGCACACACACACAAATATACACACGCACACACACACACATACACGCACACAAGCACCCACGCCTAAACACGCATGGGCTGCAGTGTGTGCTTACTATGAGAACTTAATTGTTTAATAACTTTTCTTGTGTACATACGATCTTCATGAAACTTTTAGATTATGATTATAACATGGATATGCATGCATTGGTCTCTAGTATTTGAAATACGCCTTTTACAAAGCTTAGGATGAGGGTGAGGGATATAAAGGTGGGCGGTAAATTTTAACAAAACCCGAAATTGTATAAATTGCATATAAATCTACATTAAAAATTTGGAGACTTTAGATGTAAAGTTGTAGGAGATATAGTTTTATAACTGATTTTCGATAAGGTTTTTATCGATAAAAATATCGGGAGTAGTTATCGATTTTTCAAGCAAAACTCGATATCCGCGTGGTATACACGGACATTTTGCAAAAAAGATTGGGGACTCTAGCTCTTGTATCTTCTGAAATCGACTCGTTCAAACATACTGACAGACGGACAGGCGGACGGACGGACGGACAGGGCTAAATCAACTCAGCTATTCGCCCTGATCAAGAATATATATACTTTGTGGGGTCTGCCACGCCTCCTTCTGCCTGTTACATACATTTCAACAAAACCATTATACCCTGATTTCCCATTGAAAATGGGTTCAGGGTATAAAAAAAAC